GGGCACTGCGGTGTCGAGCTGATGTGGCACCGGATAGGGGTGGTGTGTTTAGTATTGTTCTGATCAGTTTAATGCCTTTCCGTCTCTATCAGTAGTGTACTGCGGCATTGATTTTTGTAACAGGGGAGATGGAAGAAGAGGCTTGAGTGGGTATACTTACTGCAAATTTGGGGCACTGCGGTCAAAAGCTAATGTGTGACACCAGATAGAGTGGTGTGTGTTTAGTATTGTTCTGATCAGTTTAATACCTTCCGCGTCTCCTATCAGTGGTGGTGTACACGGCATTGATTTTTGTAACAGGGAGATGGAAGAAGAGGCTTGGTCGGTCCTCTTACTGCAAATTTGGGGCACTGCGCGGTCAAGCTAATGTGACACCAGATAGGAGTGGAGTGTTGAGTACTATTTTTATCAGTTTAATACCTGTGTGAGAAATGCTTTTCAGCCGCTTCTAATCTTAAGCATCATTTGAGGAGCCATACAGGAGAGAAACCTTATTAGTGGTGTGTTTAGTATTGTTCTGATCAGTTTAATACCTTCAGCGTCTCCTATCAGTGTGGGCGTGTATATGGCAAGCCATTTTAGGAACCGTACACCTGGGACCCGAGCAAGGTCACCTCGTTCAACAGGCGACAACATTTGTCCCTGGAAAACTATCCTGGACATTCTGTACAATTTGTATGGATATGGCAGTGATTTCTGTAACAGGGGGATGGAAGAAGATGCTTGGTCGGTCCTCTTAATTCAAATTTGGGGCACTGCGCGGTCAAGCTAATGTGCCACCAGATAGGAGTGGTGTGTTTAGTATTGTTCTGATCAGTTTAATACCTTCGTCGTCTCCTCTCTGTGGTCGTGTACGCGGCGTGATTTTTTGTAACAGGGAGATGGAAGAAGAGGCTTGGTCGGTCCTCTTAATTCAAATTTGGGGCACTGCGCGGTCAAGCTAATGTGCCACCAGATAGGAGTGGTGTGTTTAGTATTGTTCTGATCAGTTTAATACCTTCCACGTCTCCTATCAGTGGTCGTGTACACGGCATTGATTTTTGTAACAGGGAGATGGAAGAAGGGGCTTGGTCGGTCCTCTTACTGCAAATTTGGGGCACTGCGCGGTCAAGCTAATGTGCCACCAGATAGGAGTGGTGTGTTTAGTATTGTTCTGATCAGTTTAATACCTTCCACGTCTCCTATCAGTGGTCATGTACAAGGCATTGATTTTTGTAACAGGGAGATGGAAGAAGAGGCTTGGTCGGTCCTCTTACTGCAAATTTGGGGCACTGCGCGGTCAAGCTAATGTGACACCAGATAGGAGTGGTGTGTTTAGTACTATTTTTATCAGTTTAATACCTTCCGCGTCTCCTATCAGTGGTCATGTACACGGCATTGATTTTTGTAACAGGGAGATGGAAGAAGAGGCTTGGTCGGTCCTCTTACTGCAAATTTGGGGCACTGCGCGGTCAAGCTAATGTGACACCAGATAGGGGGGGAGGGTTTAGTACTATGTTGATCAGTTTAATACCTGTGTAATGCTTTTCAGCAGCTACAATGCTAAGCATCATTTGAGAGGGAGCCATACAGGAGAGAAACCTTATTGAGTGAATTGTGTTTAGTATTGTTCTGATCGGACTTTATTACCTTCAAAAGCGTCTCCTATCGGTGAGGTCCTGCGATACACGCACTGACACAGAGCAGAATAGGGAATATTACTACCCCAACATCGGGTCGCAGCTTCGGAAGATATGGATTGACACCTGTCCTCAAGCCCCTGATACACACTGACACAGAGCAGAATAGAAACTGTTCCCCCTACATAGGGTCACTTGGCAGATATGGATTGACACCTGTCCTAAGGATCCCTGATATACACTGATACACACCTACTTGGATGGTATAGACATTTTTAGCTGCTCCTGGCCCGAACACCTGACCCACATAGGAGCCGTAATAGACCGGATTAGGGAGTCCGGACTGACCCTAAAGCCAGTAAGTGCCATATAGGAACGTGTAAAAACCTCCCCAAGATAGTAGTATGGGCCCCAGAGTGTGAACAGGCCTTCCAACAGCTCAAGACGGCGCTCATTAAATCATCTGTACTTTCTGCTCCTGATCCAACTAAACACTTTCTCATCCATACAGACGCTTCTGTGTTTGGATTGGGAGCAGTATTGAGCCAAGTCGGAGCAGATGGCGGCGAGCAACCCGGGGCTTATCTAAGCCGGAAACTTTTGCCCAGGGAAGTAGATACACTGCCATTGAAAAGGAGTGCCTGGCGGTGGTGTGAGCCCTCAAAAAGCTGCAACCTTACTTGTATGGACAACCGTTTACCTTACTCACAGATCACAACAAATTTGGGGCACTGCACGTGCAATCTAATGTGCCATCAGATAGGAGTGGTGTGT